AAAATTTTAAGAAAGCACTAGAATGGAATATGCAGGAATTGTGTGACACCATAAAAAGATCAAATTTACGAATCATAAGTATACAGGAAGGGGAAGAATCCCAAGATAATGGCATGGACCAGATCTTCAACAGAATCCTAGAAGAAAATTTCCCAAAATTAAAGAAATACATGCCCATACAAATACAAGAAGCATATAGAACACCAAATAGACAGGACCAGAAAAGAAACTCTCCTTGGCACATCATAGTAAAAACACTAAATGTTCAAAACAAAGAGACAATATTGAAAGCTGCAAAAGAAAAACAACAAGTCACATATAAAGAAAAATCCATCAGGATTACAGATTAGCCTGAACTATACTATTTCCAGTTGTAAAAGACCATAGATGCCAACGCAGATTGCTTTACCCAGCCAAAATGTCTGTTATAGTCAAAGGGGAAAGAAAAGTCTTCCATGATATAAATAGGCTGAAAGAATTTATATCCACAAAACCAGCCCTTCAGAGAGTTTTTGAAGCAATACAAAGAGCTGAAGAAGGGAATGACTATACCCAAGGGATTACAGAAAGAAAGTTAATGAAATTATAACTGTGGAAATGCACAGCTACACGAAGAATGTGAACAGATATAAAAATGATGGGAATCAGCACACATCTTTCATTAATAACTTTAAATATCCATGGAATGCACTCCCCTGTCAAAAGACACAGACTAGTTGAATGGATTAAGAAACAAAACCCATCTTTTTGTTGTCTGCAAGAAAAGCCATCTTAGCTTTAAGGACAGACACTACCTTAAAGTGAAAGGATGGAAAAAATTATACCAAGCAAATGGTACTAAGAAAAAAGCAGGCATTGCAATTCTAATATTTGATAAAAATAGACTTCAAAGTAAAACTAATCAGAAGAGATAGTTCATGACCACTTCATTCTGATCAAAGGAACACTTGACCAAGAAGATATTACAATCATGAACATACATTCACCAAACTCTGGTGCACCCAACTTCATAAAAATAGTATCACAGGACTTTAAGACCCAGATTAATCCTAACTCATTAATAGTAAGGGACTTCAATACTCCATTGTCTCTATTAGACAGGTCAACAGGACAGAAAATTAACATAGAGACATCTGAATTAAACAATACCATACATCAAACAGACCTAACAGGCATCTACCGAATACTCCAGCCAAGCACCAAAGAATATACTTTCTATTCAGCACCCCATGGAACCTTCTCCAAAATCGACCATATACTGGGGCACAAAACAAACCTTAACAAATACAAAACGATTGAAATAATTGCATGAATTCTATCAGAACACAATGCAATAAAGCTTAAGATCAACAATGGAAGAAACCCAAGTAACTACATGAACACATAGAGATGAAACAACACACTCCTGAATGGGTCAAAGGAGAAATTAAGAGAGAAATAAAAGCATTCCTGGAACTAAATGAAAAGGACACTACAACAGAACAAAACTTCTGGGACACATTGAAAGCAGTCCTTAGAGGGAAATTTATAGCTCTATGTGCCTTCATTAAAAAATCAGAAAGAACACAAATAAATAACTTTGCAGCTCAAGACACTTGAAAAGCAACAACAAATGAAACCCAAACCTAGCAGACAACAAGAAGAAGTAACAAAAATCAAGGCAGAAATCAATGAAATTGAATCAAAGAAAACAATACAAAGAATCAACAAACCCAAGAGTTGGTTCTTTGAAAAGATAAACAAGATTGACAGACCGCTAGCCCAGTTAACCAAAAGAAAGACCATGTCCAAATCAACAAACTCAGAGATGAAAGGGGAAACACCACAAGAAACACCAAGAAGATACAGAACATTATAAGGGAATACTTTAAAAACCTATATGCTACTAGATATGAAAACCTAAAAGAAATGGACAGACATCTAAAGGCATGGGAACTACCAAAAGTAAACCCAGAATAACAGCTTAAACAGACCCATAACACAAAAAGAAACTGAAACAGTAATACAAAACCTCCCGACTAAAAAAGCCCAGGACCAGATGGATTTACAGCAGAATTCTATCAGACATTTAAAGAAGATCTACATCCAATACTACTTAATTTATTCAAAAAGATAGAAATGGAGGGAGAACTTCCAAATTCTTCTATGAAGCCAGCATCACTCTCATACCAAAGTCAGGCAAAGATACAACCAAAAAAGAAACTATAGACCCATATCCTTAATGAACATAGATGCAAAAATTCTCAACAAAATAATTGCAAACCACATGCAGACACACATCAAAAGGATTATCCACCATGATCAAGACAGCTTTATTCCAGAGATGTAGGTAGTTCAATATATGTAA